ATAAGTCTCGGAAAGGTTTGAATTTTACAATAGTATTCATAATTAATTTTCATTTGAAATAATAATGAATATAGGATATACAAAAAAAAATTAATTAAAACTGAAAGTAGAAAAAAGAAGAATCTATTGTTAACACTGGTATACTTTAAAAATTTATTAGTGATTATAATTCTTACATGTAGATTTGAGAAGAAAACAACTGAGACTTCGATTTTTAAGTCTTATGAATTTTCTGACGTACATTTAGCGCACGATAAATTCATAAGAAAACCAATTTTTGATGATCTTATTTTAGCAGAAATATGAACTCTTTTTAATGAAGTTATTTATTTTCATAAGAAATGTTCTATCAATTTTATGAAGAATTTTAACTTTTGTTTTTGTTTGTTTCTATTGCTCATGAAAGTCTATCAGCTGATGAACGGCTAGCTTTATAGGTCAATAACCAACAAACCGTTTGCTTATGTATAAATTTAGGTTCGTTATTAATTTGGACCTGAAAATTAGAGCTGTTCAATGCTGGATTGATCGAATCAGATATACGTATATCATTAAAGTTTATCTTATTAATATTAATTTCACCAATACTTTGTATGATTGTCATATCTTGATCTTTTTCACCTTAGTTGAGCAGATCGTTATTAACTTCATTATCTTGCATTATTTCATCATCATAATTATATTCAGAATTTGATGATGAATCTATTCAAATTACTATGGGTATTTATTTTTGAAACAAATGTTGAAATTATGAATAAGTTTTATATTGATTATGCATTGAAATTGAATTTAGTGTAATGATAACAAAACAAAAGAATAAATCTATTGAAAATTGACTAATTTTGAAATAAAAATTTTAGCTGTATTTTCTTTTATTATTGAGTTTATACGTGCATATATCCTTATATGGAATTATAAAAGAAAATTCTTTTATTATCTTTATTTAATAAATAGTGTGTTTTGCATGATACAGAAATAGGATGCAATTTCTAAGACTTCTCGAAGTCTCTTGAAGTCCGCTGTTTTCCCTCGTTTAGACTTGATTTAAAGATGAAGTCTGGTTGTTCGAGTCAAACTTTCACGAATGTTGAAGATAAATTACATCGTGATATAAAACATTTACAAGAACAACTTCAAGTACAAGTTTACATATGATTTATTAATTTTAGTTTCATTTGAATAAAAACTTGTTGTTAGATTTATGTATAAACAATTGGAATGTTAGTAGCAGAAAAAGTGATCTATGAGCTAAATTAAGTCAACCATTTAAGCAAAACGTGAACGTCTACAAAAACTTGAAAAACAAATACAAAATTCAACATCAAATATACAAAAATGAGACATGTTCTTTGCACTTGACTTTATTTAAATTTTTTTTTTTCTTTAAATTTTTCTTTTTTTGTTTAGGTAGCCAAAGAATATGATAAAGAAAATAATCGATTAACAGCTGAAAATATTCGACAAAAATTTTAATCTTCGTTTGATATTAATTAATTATATAAATATTTTTATTTTTGTCAATTAATTAAAGATTAGAAACAAAATATAAATCAATTTAATGAAAACCTTCTCAATCGACAAATTCTTATTGATTAATTAAATAATCAATTAGAATTATTTAACTAACAATCTCAAGTTTGCTTGTAGTTTTTGGAAAAAAACATTATTTTCCTTTTCTATTGTTAGTCAACTAATCAAACATCAATAACAGAACAGCAAATCAATGAATTTCAACAAACAATTCGATTAAAAATAATCAAAAAGATGAAGTAAGGAAAACATTTTAAAAGATTATCGACAATCATTTCGAAACAGTTTTCTTATTAACTAAACTTTATCTTAAATTGAAATATATAATAACATCTCGACAGAACAATAATAAGAATAACAAACATTTTTATATCTAAAATATTTCTGTTACCATTAAGAGTACTGAATACTCTTAGTTTTTCTTTATTCAAACTTATTGGTCTTAAGAGAAATAAAAATGTGCTCATTTATGTGCTCAGTGATTTCATCATTGAAAAACAGAGATGTCTGCATGAACAGAATGTAGGAAGCTGAGAGTCCGAGTTCAAAATTTTTTTTCGGGTCCACATTTTTGTGGATACGTAGCTCCTTAAATGCGAAAGTGAATAACAAAAAATAACTGTACGTTAACTTTTTTCCTCAGAGTAACCAACAAATAGCTAGAATCTTAATTCTTCACTTGTCCATGTACACAGAGAATGCCAGATCTTGATGGAAAAAATCTACGGTCTGAACCCACAGCACCCTAATTGACTGCCTTGAACATTAGAAAGAGCAGAAAAATATTTTTAAAGCGAAGCTGAGAAATAACAAATGTAAACATGATAGAAAAACTAAAAAAAGTAAACGATTAGAGGGAGAGCCGATCTTCTAATCTGTCTTTTGCGCTCGATCATCTATACTAATTTAGATTAGAGATTGCAGAACAAAGAACAAAGATTACAATGACATTATATTAATGAAGACAAAATCTATGACTCAAAGTCAAAACTACTTGACATTTTTTGAACTGAAGAAATCAAACAAAAAGCATTTAAGATCGTCAAGTAATTATCTTCATAGTGGAACAACATAAACGAGATTGTTCGATTGAATATTATAAAGATTGATGTGTCAAATTCGAAAACTATTTTTGTCTTTTCCTTTTAATATTGATAAATATTTGTCAAGACTTTTGTAAAATAAATGTTCTTTTTTTTTAAAGCTTTCTTTATCTATCAATCGATTACGTTCTAATAATGAACAATATCAACAATATGATACAAATATGCAAAATCAAATTCAAGAATTAAATGAACAAGTATTATATATTTGTCTCTTATATCTATAAAATCCTTTTTTTTCTCTTTAATTCAGATAAATAAATTAATTGAAAAGAATAGTATTTTACATAATGAAAATGATTCGATAAAAAAAAAAAACTAATGAAATAAATTTATCTGATCATAGTTTAATACTTGATCATGATAATTTTCGACAAGTAAATCAATATGAAAAACTAAAATCAAAATTCGAACAAATGACTAAGTATTCATAGTTTCATCTTCATAAATCAAATTCGAATTTTTTCATATTTTTAGATTATTAACTGAAAAAGACGAAATTATTGTCGAAAGTCAAACGGATCTTAATTATCCAAAAGATCAACTAGATCAAAATCGATTAATTGAACTTCAACAAAAATTTAATAGTATTGTAATTAGCATCAATAGTAAATTTTGAAAAAGAAAAAAAGTTTTTTTTTTCCATATTTAGTCAAATGAAAATATCTACTTAAAAAATCAAATTGAATATTTAAATACAGTTAAATGAACTTTTTCAACAAATTCAATCAAAATTGAATCATCAACCAGAAACTTAAACTGAAGATCAACAACTGAATTTATCATTTACATTAGATGCAAATGATGGTAATCAATCCCCGCAAAACCTCTTTGTAATTAACCTATGACGTCAAAGCCTTGTCACTAAATATTCATTTAGTTTTCAGTCACTAAAAGACAACTGGTTAGAGCTAAAATCAGAATTTCTGAATATATGTTCAGATTTTTCTTCTGAAATAAGATTGAACAACTGTTAAGAAATTTTGTGAGAAAATCCAAAAGTGTGTCTACACAAAATAAAATAGCGGTTTTAGTTCAGTTCTTAATCAACGTAATCTGTGCCTCGAAACAACTTTAATGGAATATTATTTTCGAACACTAAATTCTCTACAAAATGAAACATTACAATCTCATATTACTCAAAATCCATGCGCTGCTGCTAAGGAGCTGATTTATGTTGAAATTACAATCGATAAAAAAAATCTTTCTCTGAGAATTTACTATTAAAAATCGAAAAGTTTTAAAATCTGTCGTATAAGATAAAATAGATCTGATGATAGTGCTCCAATATGACTCTAGAAGGAAAGCGTGAATGCATATATTCGAAAAGAGTGAAAAAATCTGATTCTATCTTTAAGTTGTCTTTAACTGGTCAAAATATGGATGAATAGTTTGTGATAAGACTTTCCCATCGTAGGTTATTATTTGTTTTAAAATTTTTCTTTTAAAAAGAAAAATTTAAATGAACATAAACGTGAAAGTGCTGATTTAAAAAATCGTATAAATGTTCTTGAACATGTTATTTTTCAATTACAAAATGAAACAGAAATAATTGATGTTCATCGAAAATCTTATTTAAGACCACTCCTCCTCAAAAAAGTCACTTTTTGTCAGAATGACCGAAACTAAGATAAATGTAGGGAAAGATAGTCCGTGATTTAGTCTCTCATAAACGACAAAAATTTTTACTCGGCACCTCATTTTTTCCAAAAATCTTTGAAGATTTCCATCATCCTCTATTCGAAAAATAAGCTGTTTTCGAAAAAAAATCGAAAATCTTTTTCGTTTTTTCTCGTTTTATAAGTTTTCGATCACGTCTGCAAGAATTCTCAAAGGATCTTCATTGCAGCCAATAGTTTTCTTTTGTTTGAAAGAGCGTGTAAAGCTGCAGTGCCTATGAGAGCCCGTGTTTTTGATTAAGCTTTGCTTTGATTATATATACAAACATTTATATAATTAGAGCGCCATTTTTAGAGAGTGTTTTTGAGTCATTGAACTTTTGATCCTTTTTTTTCCCTTAAAAAGTAAGAGTTTAGAAAAAAAAGAGCTCTCATAGGCTCTGTATGCTGACATGCTCTTTCAAACAAAAAAACTATTAAACATATAGACTGAAGACCACAGAGAATTTTTGCAGACGAAATGAGGTATTCTTTGATCCTTGTTTGATCAGTATCTCCCTCAAACGTCATGGTACAGAGCTGAAGATTTTACCATATCCTTTCCACACCAGCTCCAACATATCCTGAAAATTTCATGCCATTCAAACATTTGTGGCCTGAGATTAATTTTTGAGGGTAGTCTTAAATAGCTTCATGAGTAATTAATTTTCTTTTTTTTTTGTTTTTTAAATAGATGATTATATTCATTTAAATCAACAACAACATGAACAACTTCAAAAACGTTATCAAGAGAAAGATATTTATTTTGAGCAATTAACACAAGATCGAGTCTATTTACAAGTACAATCTCAATTTCAGTTTTATTTTTCAAAGAAAAAAAAACAAAAGCTCTCTTTTCTTTAATTTAGAATAAATTGTCATAATTCGAAATATTACTTGTTCAAGTTTTAAATATACTAATCAAAAATATAATTCAATCGCAAGAATCTAATACTGAAATTCCAATTAGACAAGATCATATCAATTCATCTAATCAATCACAATTAAATAATAATAATCATAATAATCGTAAGTTATACGAATTCAACATATACGATATCGAACAGCCGATGTTGCCATCCAATAGATATCCATATTGAGTGGCCCATGAATAAAACTGCGATAAAAATTGAAACATACCATTTCGATTCATCCAAATCGGCTCAATCTTTTTGCTTTGTCTCGCAAGTTTATTCAAAATTTATTTTTCATATGAATAAGATGTGGCGGTTCATGAAGAAAAAAATGACGTTCACGTCCATACCCAGAATTGAAGCTTTTGACATAATAAATCGCTAACTTCCTATTAAAACTTAGTGTGTCGATGCTTGAAATTTTGAAATATTGTACTCGTTAGCTGTTAGACTAAATAGAACTCTAGAAATTTGTTATTCGAGCATCATTGTTAAATCTTAAGTGAAGCTAGCAATAGTACTTAGTAGTAGTGTTTTTATGAAAAGATGTTTTAAATAAACTTATATCACAAACCAAAAATTCAGCCCATTTTATTGGACCGAAGGAATGATATTTGAGCTTGTTATTATATTATTTATTCTTCGATATAGA